TCCTACTTGTATTGTTTTGCTGTCGTGATGAAATTGTTTATACAGAGGGCAGGCGTTTGAATATAGAGAACAAACAAGAGTGTTGGAAATGCCGAAAGGTTGGTGGGGATGCTGAAGGATGCAGAGAATTTTTTCGACCCACGAGACCGGGTCACAGTCCCGGAGTTGGTCATTCTGATCAAAAGAGAATTGTAGAGCCACATGTATAAACATCTGTGTGTATATATTTTCCTTATCTGTATGTATTAATGAGTGTTTAGAGTTTCTTACCTGCTGCAATACAGAATCTATCTGAGAGACCGAATTGGTTGTGCAAATGTATTTAATGCATGTATTTTGAACTATAGCTGCCATAAATTTTTTGTGTGAGATGAAAGATCTCTCTCTCTCTCTCTTGCCTCATGGTCGATTAAATCCACTTCTACTTGTATTTGGGTGGGTTGCTAAATTAAAAGATGATAATCAAAAATTAATTTATGAGTACACCATTTATTGCCTGAACATAAAGCTCCGCTGCTCAGGTAAACCCTTTCTCGATGGAAAAAATAAATAAATAAAGGAAAAAGAAAAACTTGGTAAATCTCTATAAAGAAATACTTGGAAGTTGGAATTATTGCCAAATGGCGAGAATTTGAAGTAACAGAAATTCCTGAACCCAATTGGATAGCCACCTCAACTTGCCACATATCAATTCTCTATTCTAAGCATATATTCAAGTTAATTAATCTAATACCCGATTCTTTCATTATTAATTAATCTAAGCATATATACAATAAAGGGCTCTATTATTAATTATCAAATAACAACAACAACAATAATTGTGGCTCTGTTTGTTTGCTGTGTAAATCTGAATGAGATACAAAATTCGCACCCAATTCAGCTTTTCATGCAGTTTTTTGTAATTATGCTTTGTATTCTTACTTGATATGAAATTTGTACTTTTTGTCCAATTGCATCCATTGAGTACAAATTTTGTATCCCAAAAATTGATGCAAAACTAATACTACCTTCTTCCTACATCAATTCTTTATATAAGGCTGCATTTTGTTGCAATGTAAATACAAATATGTATACTGCATATTTACCTTTTTTTTTCGATTCATGAATGCAAACATGGTTCACATTTTAAACTGTTTTTGCACTCATCTTGTTTGCTTGAAATTGGTGCAAAGTGTGGGCCCATCATTAAATACTCCAACTATCTTATGCTCCAATGCCTTTACTTTAGTCAAAAAGTTAATTATCAAACTAACACAAAACTGTATCCAAAAAATAAGTACAGTAATACTCTCTTCTCAAAGTACAAAAGTGTCAGAAAATACATTTTCAATAAGATAATCATTACTTTTTTACATATCAAACAAACGCTCGCAAATGAGAACCAAGATACATAACTACCCTGATTCAGCATTTGTATCGCAAACAAATGAAGCCTAAAGTGAAGATTAATTACATCATCTTGCTTCTTCCACCACTCCAAAACAATTAAATAACCCTCTTCCTACCTCTATATATTCTCTTTCACTGGAGGTGGGGATCGCATCATTCTAGTTTTTACAAATAAGATAAAAGTGAAATCTGAATTAAAAGTAAATTAATCAGCCTTGTCACTTGCTTGCATTAATTTTACACTAGTGAAAATAAAATTCTCGCTGCAAACTAACTGAGCCTAATTAACTAACACATTTAATATGTATATAGGGTTATATGTAGAGATGGCGGTCAGCAATTTTTGGTTATTACATATATAAGATGGCGGTCAGCAATTTTTGGTTATTACATATATAAGATTCCAAACCCATTCTGTCCAAACAGAATCTTGAAATCATATATACTAGTGTGCCATATTGCCATACTTTTTGAGTAGTGGTCAACTACAGGAGTCAAGTCAAATGTACCAACCGACGGTGCACTCTTCTTTGTCTCTGTTCCAAACAAAAAAACTAATAATAAAAAAAAATTAAAAATTAATGCGCTGAGTTATTTAATTCAACAAATGCATACAAAAGGAAAGTTTAAAGGCACCAGAAATTGTAAAGAAAGCTAGCTTTTAGTCAAAATAAAATAATAATTACCATGCTCCGTTGGCTCCTCAAGCTAAGGAACACACACCTCTCTCTCTCTCTCTCTCTCAAACATTGAGCTTGAGAAATAAAGAACAAGAATGGAACAGAGAGCTTTTGCTCATTGTTCTCTGTGATGTACACATGTGCTGTGCTGTAGTGCACAAGCTTTGTCAACTGTTGGTCGTTATTTTTATATTTAGCTATTAACCCCCGCTCAACTTTATACAGAAGAAGAGAGAATCTTCCCTTTTGCATTGGAATCTCTCATGGATTCTTTTCTGGTACTATAATAGTTTTCTTTCTTCCCTGTTATAAATAGCTTTTTTCAAGGAAGAAATTTCCATCAGTACCCTATGACAATCCCGTAGTTGAAAAGAGTCTCATTTTTTATAATCAAGTTTGAGTCATTTTCGAAATGACAAAAATAACCTTTCTCTGCGAGCGGGAACCACAGTTCGCTACTCTAACCTTCCGAAGAGCACTCACTGGTGTTGTTCCGTCCTCAACTGCTCATTCATTCGTCAACAGCGGTTACAGCATGGTACATCCCCATAGTGAAGTGAACATCAGTTTTCAAGTGTTTAACTCCGCAACCCAGGCACGATATAGCGCTACTTCCGTTCTAAATGGTGTTGTGAGTTTCGGCTTCTTCTACTACATCATAACTCTTTGAGATGTGACGACTGCCGAGGGAGGCAAACTTTCATCTTTGTTCACAAACCCCCCGCCGCCTGTTGTTTCTGGTTCTACTTCCGAAACTCCAACAGAATACTCTTCCTCCCATAATTTAGATCAAACAGAAATAAAAAATTTCAAGGATAAGTGCAAATCTGGAAATATCCATCTAAATTATGCAGTTGGGTTCTTTAATCAAATGCTTCTCGTGCATCCCCCGCCTCCCAAAAGGATATTCAATCATGTCTTAGGTGCAATTTCTAAGATCAAGAACTACTTAGTTGTTGTTTCTCTCTACAGAAAATTGAAGCCAATCGGCGTCTCTCCCGATTTCATTACGCTAAACACTCTATTAAATTGTTGTTGTAACTCTAGTCATGTTCCATCCGGTTTAGCAGTTTTCGGGGAAATTCTGAAACGAGGTTACGGCCCCAACACTTTCACTTTCACTTCTCTGATTAAGGGGATGTGCACGGAGAATCGGATCAATGAAGCTGCCCAGGTCTTCCAAAAAATGATTGAGCAGGGCTGCATGCCCACCGTATAATCACATATGGGACTCTGATTAATGGATTATGTAGGTGAAGAAACACAGCCCTAGCACTGAATTTGCACAGAGAAATGGTGAATGGAACTGTTGGTGGTGGAAGGTTTAAGCCTAACGTTGTTACGTACAATATGGTTATTGATGGCCTTTGTAAAGATGGTTCCATAGATGAGGCTAAGGAACTCTTTGCAGAGATGATGGATGGGCAGGAGGATTTCTCTTGATGTGGTTGTTTACAGCTCTTTGAGGAGATGATGGTTCCATAGATGAGGGAGGCTAAGGAACTCTTTGCGGCAATAGTGGAACTATTTAAAACTCTCGAGTGTAGTGCATTTGAACAAACTATTAAGATATACAACTGCCTGATAACGCCACCTCTCCTCTATCGTTCAACACAGATCGAAGAGAGAAGGGAATAGGGTAAAAGGGTAAAATGGTCCGAATATTATCATAAGGGTTAGTTTTGACATTATGAAATTATTTAAATTGCATTTAATCTCAAATGATGCCTTGACTGACGGTGAGTTAACACCAAATACCGAATTGTGGCATTTTAAAGTTTAGAGTATGATCAGAATTTTCCCTTATTTTATAACTGTTACAATCTCTAGATTTATCAGCTTGTCTGAGCAGAGCACACGTTTACGTCAAGGTGAGCTTAGAAGCTTGAGACGATCATGATCGACGATTACGAAGACATCGTACCAAGATATTTTCATGAAAACGACTTGCCGCAGAATATCTCAATAATTAAACAAGCGAGCAACAGTCCAAATCCAAAAGGCTTGCGATGCCGGCCAGAGTGCAGGAATATGGACATCCCCAAGAATGGGATTTCAATTCCTGCGCTGGTCTCTGTAACTCTCAACTACGTCATAGTAGTTGAGATTGAGAAGAGCTATCCCCTGTTGGTAGAGTATATACGTAGCTCACTCTGTACATATTTATCTCTGTGTTGTGTTGTCTATCAGTCAATAAAACAACTTTTCATCCCTCATCAATTATCTCTTTTACCTGTGTTAGTTAAGCGTACGTAGCATTTCTTTCTTGTATGTATCGCTGAAAAGAATACCAAACCAAAAAAAAAAAAAAAGGTTTTATAGAACCCAAGGTGAAGAAATTAAAAGGCAGCCATGAATACAAATTAATTAACAAGTTGGATGGAAATTCTGTTGTACATAGTGTCCTCTAGTAACCAACGAGCTCGTTGGTTAGAGTTGATAATTAAGTTGGGTTGGGTCACTGTTGGACTATTTGTACATAGTAAGAGACTGATTACTCATTGGATCTGTTTAATTAAGTCGCCTACTCACGCATTTTCTAATAATAACCAGGAAGCCTCCGGTGCCACTCAACGTGCAATGGGATATGAAGCAAGAGCATGAGGTCATGTTACACCCATAAATCACAATCCACAAACTATTTTATAATAACAACATGTACAAATACATAAACAGTTTCAATAATACACAAATAGACTACACGTTTGGATGCTAGACCAGAAAAATAAGAAAGAAAGAAAGAGATTACAGTAACGACAGTAACAACAGAAATATATATATATATATATATATATAGGCCTACGAAGAACAACAATACCAACAACAACTAAATATATTTGCATCATCCTGCATTATATTATATAGTTCATAAGCTGCAGGAAAACAGCTAGCTGGTTCTAATAGCGGCCATCCATTCATTAACGCAGCTGATTAGTTTCCTCCACGAGAGTGGCCAACACCAGGGCTGTGACCAGGGGTTGTGGGTCGGAAGTCTGTAATGTTATTATCGGATGATGGTGCCAATAATGCAGCTTGAGAATTTTCAGGTTGGCCGGCTAAAGGCGATCCGGAGGCGTCTATGGACGCCACCATTCTAGTTGTGGTTTCACTACGAGAAGTGGTGTTTTCTGTTGGGCTGCTCTCAGTGTTTATTACAGCGGATTTCTTGTTGGGCGACTCCTTTTTCTGGGCAAAGCTCAAATGCCTTCCCTCGATAGAGCGGAGTTCATGGGAGAACACAAGTAGGAGAAGAGAAACACATGTTAAGACAGACTTGACGTTGGCCATTGGGACTTTGGGACAGCTAGCAAGTAAGCAAGAGCTAGAGGAGAGGGAGTAAGAAGGAGAAGGATCGAGGCAGGGAGGGTGAGTCGAGGCAATTGAGGTGCTATAAACCTGAGGCCTGCTTGGGTATTTATAGTGCTAGCTAGAGAATGGAAAATGTGGTTCCTAAGTTAAAGGAAAAATAAAGATTACTAAATTTCAACAATGGGTTTGTAATTGTAAGCTTTTAAAAGACTGTCACAAATAGCTAGGGAGGGGGTATAGCTTAGCTTCCGTTTGAACTAGCTTGTATTATTTGATATTAATAATATATATATATATACCAAATTTGTATAGCAAGGCTCCGTTTGGTAAGACTGTGTTATTTGTCATATTTTTATTTACACTCTTTCCAAACAGAGCGTAAGATTCAAAATATATGAAAAAGCTAGCCATAAAATGGACTGTTATTTAAAGAGGGTAATAATCTTATCAAATTTTAATTTTATGATAATTTCTCATAAAAATATAGTAATTCCTTTAATTTAAATATGAYCAAATTGATAGTAAAACTCTGATGGAATAATGAATGTAATAGCGTTTAAATGTTTAATTATGTTGTTAATTATCTCTTTAATTTGAATCATCTCAACAACTCAATACTCACAGTTATATAATTAAGCATCTGAATATACTGTAGGGCTTCTATATTAATTGCCTGTAGTACGTAAATTAAACCTTTTATAATTCCTTATGCGACACAGATGTGTTGAAGACAAAGTTGGCACACTCAAGTCCCGATGATCACATGAACCAAGGCATTGGGATTCGTTTGGTCCACCCACTACAAATAATTATACTCTTTTGTGGTCGACCCACTACACATAAATATACTATCTGTGACTGTGAGTGTCCTTTTCAATTTCAGCTTTTTTTTTTTTTTTGGTAATAAAACGCCAGATTTATATAACCCCAGCCACATCATCCCCTGAGCAAAAATTAAGTGAAGAGTATGCCAAAGTTTTTGTGAAGTGGGAGCCATATTTTATTCAATTTCAAGCTTTTTCTCTATTATTATTATTATTATTAAAGCTGTAAATTTGGAGAAGCAGTAGGGAATTCAAATGGGACAATTGGCAGACACCTCCAAGTAGTAGCGAAATGGAGAGCCCATTAAGCGTGCCCAAATGTCAAGTAGTAGATGTCTAATGCGGCACTCATTGGCAAGCATATATAACTTTGCACAAATGCCCTCGTTTCCACCCTTCTATTTGTTGGATTTTCAATTGACTTGCCGGGGTGGGGTAGAGGTTGGATAGGAAGAGAAGGACTAGGGTTTTCACAATAACCTGGCCAGAAGTAACTCGGCCACGGTTCCACCCACGTTGAGGCGGGCAGATTGGCCAACACCAACTACAAAGAATTGGGATTTGTTTCCCACGGAGCAGAGCGCATCTCACACGACCTCACAGGAATATCTTACCGTGTATTAATTGGAAAGATGTTCCCGATGCATGGTTGAGATGTGCTGTAAGGTTAGTGTAAATTAAAAAAAAAAAAGTAACAGATGGAGACTCAGTTATGCAATCCGCCACACATTACATAAATAATGGCAAATTTACAGTGGGAAAATACCTTGTTGTTCATTACATAAATGGTTTAGTAGGAAATGTTGAGATGTATGGAAAATAAAATAAATGGGAAGTTCTTGTTGTTCATTCTCTGGGGCTAGCAGAGCAGTAAAAGGGTCTGAATCCCTCGCAGTCACACGCAGACATACCCAAGTGGGGCAACTTGTTATATTTGTTTCCAAGCTACCTTTTTTTTTCTGCTCAGCCAAACTCAAGGAGGATGGGACCATTCTAATTTTATGGTGGATTGGTTCTGAATCTTCTCAACCTCTGAACATGAGAACATGTTCAGGGAGCCCCAATTGGTGGATTCTGAATCTTCTGATCCCCCCTGAACATGGATCATGTGCAGGGATCTCTAATGGTGGATTCAGAATCTTTTGATTCCCTGAACAGGGGGGGAACATGTGACGGGATCCCTTCAATTCTTCCATATTTTTCTTTCCCTTGCTTCATCATTACAGTGCCAATTCTTCTATGTCCTTCTCTTGTTTCATCATTGCAGCCAAACGCTTTGCACCACTTCTCTCACCCTAGTAGTATGCAAGTATGTAATAGCGCTTGGACAAAGCTCCTTTATTTTCACCCTACCCCACACCCACATGTGGGCCAACAAATTTACAGTTTACATTTAATAAGCCAACTGACCTCACCTTAAAGCCCCTGGTCCGCTTTGGCTTGGGTTGTCCAGCCTGGTTTGTTGCTTGCATGATTGTCTTCAGACTTGACAATCGGGTCGGGTCGGGTCGGGTCTATGTATTCTTTTCAGGTCAGAGATGACCCACATGTCAGATGGGTCAATGCTTCAACCGCCTGAATCACTTTGTCTTTGACTAAATCAACAGGTTTTTTATAAAAAAAATAATAATAAATGGATTTAATCGTCTGATTCAAATGGTTTAAACAGTTCAACCGTCTGGATGTTGGTATAGAAATAGGTGACTTAGAGGACCTAACTCGCTCTTTCGGGTTGGGTGGGATCAGGTTCGTGGGTTGGTTGGACCTTTTGCCCGGTCTCTCCAGCCAATCCGGACTCTGACGAAGGTCCAACTCAACCAACACCTATAGGCTATAACATGTATATATCAAGTTTTATATAGGTTTTGTTTTGTCAGTTCGTGCCAACCTGAGGCCCATCCTAAATTAGTTGCTGAGCTGATCTGTACCTTGTCAAAGCCCAGCCCAAAATAAGGAGTTCATATCTCCGCCCCACAATGCCCTACAGTACATCCCCGCCGTGTATTGAGAACATCTCCAGGTGATAGTACCAGTTCGGATGTTTATCATCACGAGATCTTCCCAATACATGGCGAGGATGTGCTGTGGGGCGGAGATGTGATCTCCAAAATAAGTGGTGCAAGCTGGGCCCGGGTGATATCGTATTTTGCCTTTAAGGGTGTTCAAATCGTCTTGTAAATGCAGCTCAAGAGTCAAGAAGATATGTTCAACAGAGCTTATCTCTAGGCTCTACCTCTGGTTTGTTTTCTGTGCAATTTCATTTGCATTGGTGGCAAGAATGGGAATGCAAATGAGCTAGTATGGGAATCCCATGTAACTGCAGTTTCGGTAAGTTACTTAATTGGGTAAATGCAGTTACCTAGATAAGTTTTTCCTGGGAAACACTTATCTAGGTAAATGCATTTATCCATGCTCTTTTATTTCTCATGTAAATAGGGCAATGACCATTTTATCCATAAAATTTCATTATTAAAAGGGACATTTCTGCCCCATTCAAGTGTTGGCAACTTTCCCCCTAAGTGGAAAAATTATTTACCCACCTAAAGGATGGGTATCACTTTCCCATAAGTGATACATAGAAAAATAAACTTTCCCCRATCTCCACATAAATCTGAAAAATGAACATAAAATTCTTGATCAATAGAAACCAAAGTCCTATTGATTAACTTACCCCCTCTCAATATCCAATAAAAGAACGCCCCTTAAAAACTTATTCAAGCCCATCCAAGACAACTCGATCTGTAAAAAGTTACGTCACATTTGGCCTACTTTTACATAGACGGGTTGAGACCTAATGTAAACCGGCCCATTACTAGCAGGACGAGGGAGCCCAACAACCAACGTGTCCATCAACTTTCCATTACATCTCGCCTATTTAAAAAATGCTAGTTACTGATATTAAATCATATTTTGTTTTCTTAATTTCCGTGGCCAAGATCTGAAGATTATAATTTAAATACTGCAATTATAATTGCAAAGTGAAAAATAGAAGCAAAATATGATTTGCACCTCACCATAAATCAACATGAGCAACCTGATGATTTGCACCCCTAGAGGGTAGAGCACTTGTGAGATGGTTGCTCAGTTGATTTGTATTGGTGGTTATCGAAGAGTCTATATCGTAGGGATCGTTTGGTAGTTTCGTTACTGAGTTCAAGCTTCTAAATCGTTAGAGCATCTATTGATCGACTGCCTTTGTGTTAAACCTTGATGGTTTGGTTCAGCTCTAAATTTATCTACTGATATTTTTCCACTAAAAGCATATTCAGAGAATGAGTACGTACTTGCAGAGTGGTGGGGTCAAGATGCTAAGCATGAAGGCATGATAGGTCCTTTTCTTCTTGCTTTAGTGCCATCATGGTTCATTTGGTGGGTCCGCTATCGCTTGATATTTGAGCAAACTTTTCTTAATTGTGTTAAACACTTAAACCTGCGGATGTTTGTGTGATCATCAAGATCAATGTAGATGGTATGGTGGGTGACCTTGTTTATGGAGTAGGATTCAAAAACCTCCCAAGAGATTATTTTGGTTTTCATCAACGTTTTAAAAAATGATTCAGAAACGGAGTCGTTCTGGTCATTGGTTTTTAGGTCAACGGTCTAATCATCTGATTTGAACTGATAGTCTGTTTTAACAGTAAAACTAAAAAATAAAAAAACGGTTAAAAACCGTTGAATGGGTCAACAGTTTGACCGCCCAAGTCAACGATTTATTGACTTTTTCAATAGTTTTTCATCAGATTTCGGGTTTTGGGTAAAATGGAACCGGTTGCCTGAACGATTCCTAGGCCAAACGGTCCAACCATCTGAATCAACGGCGATTCGAAAACGTTGGTTCTCATCTTATATATGAAATATTTTCCAAAGCCATACTAATCCAAAAATGCTCAGCTTTGGAAGTGGAAGCTCATTCATAGTCTAAGATTGAAATTTGCAAAGGATCCTTCTCTTTTTTTCCTCGTTGAAGGCGATCTGCTGATTTTGAAATTAAGATGAGTGAATTAGTGCCAATGGACATAAAAAAAAAAAAAAAAGAATATGAAACATGAAAATTGTATAGACGGTATTTGGTATGTTGGTTCATTGTTTGAACATTGGAAGCTCAATTTGTAAAACTTGGTTGTACGAGTTTCGAAAACAAAGTTTTTTCAATAT